GAGAGAGAGAGAGAGAGAGAGAGAGAGAGAGAGAGAGAGAGAGAGAGAGAGAGAGAGAGGAGCAAAAAGACCGAAGACGGATTGAATGAAGGAAGGGTAGAGACGTGAATATGGAGAAAAAGAGAGAGAGAGAGTTTCTTTGCCGAAAACGATGCAGAAATCCTGCGTCACTGTTTCTGTCCCTGCAGGACAATTAGAGGTTGTTAACGAGAGCGCAGTCTCTATGGTAACAGGAGGCTGTTGCCATGGAGACTGAGCTGTATTTCTTAATCCAAACAAAGATGGTAGCCAGAAAACATACAGTACCTCCATGCTCAATTTTAATGTAAACATATACAGTATTGATATTGCGATTATTATCAGTTATATCGGTCTCTAAAGATGTTTCTTAACATATGTTGTATTTTTACACAAATGAATAAACAAACTAATAAGCCAGCCTCTGATGCCACTACGTCAGAGTCAAGCCTCACGTCCGTAGCTCTTTTTTCTTTCCTAAAAGTGAAACTTAGTGTTTTTGACACTAACAAGAAAGAGTTTACTCTTTGTGTTGCATTTAAAGTACGTTTTAACATCCAAGTAAGCATTCAAATGATCAAATCCTCAGCTCACTTTTTTTTAGAACACATTTAAAAACAATGCTGCTCCTTTATTCTTTTATTTAACCAACCATAAATAGATTGTATCTACAGGGAGTTAAAGGCTTTAAATGTAAGTATTTCATTCTGGCCATGTGATTGAAATCTCATCTAGACAAAGAAGAGCCACCAAACATTTACAGGAAGTCTCACTTGATATTAATACTAATAATTAGAGCACATTTCACTTGATTTTTACGGTTTGCTAGCTATGTATTTGAAATCATTGTTTGGTGTCATTGCTCTGTATTGTAAATTGTCTTGTTTTGTATTCAACACTTTGTAGTGAAGCCATAAACAACTTCCCACAATGCAGACAGTGCAGTTCCTGTAGAATATGTGCTTTAGGCTCATTCTTCATTCGTTTTCAAAGGAGTCAGCGAGAAACATGTAAGGTGAAGTTAAATATTTGATCTTAGTAAATAATAATAATCTGTTATTCAAGAAGATTGACAGTGGCTAAAATTGCGTGATAATCGATGCAACACCTCATTGGACACATTTGATATCAAATCAACCGGAGCACAATATGCTCCAGAACCATACTGTGTGTGTTATTGTGTGTGGGACACTGGATCACTTCCAGAGACAGTCCGAGCGTCCACGTGGACATCAGGAGGTGGAGGGCAGAGGTCAGGGTGCGCATAGAGTTTGACCGGTGAAATGTCCCCTATTCCAACTGAAAAGCATCTGGATGGAGGTGAGATGAAGGGAGATAAAAAAAAAGAAGCCAGAAGATGAGAGGGTAAAAAGGACGCAGACACAAGGAAAGAAGATAAGGAGTGAAAGAAAGGGAAGGAAACACACATACAGGGCCGGAGGGAACTCAACACTGATTCATCCGCTCGATCTCGACCACAAAACTCATTCCCTATTAGCCTGCAGATGGGGGGGGACTCGGGGAGCTGTATGCTATTCAGCACTTTTAATTATAAGGAGCAAGAAAAGAAGGAGGGATCTAATTTCACGGGCGGCGGGAGGGAGGGAGGCTGCAGGTGGCCGCCACAGCCAGACGGATATAAGCTCATTCCTGCCCCAGAACAGTCGTTTATGTAAGTGACTTACAGGATGGCTTCAGCAGTATTATTAGCAAATCATGTTGTATTATTTAACAGTGGTCACTCAGTCCACTGTGCTAACAACTCTCCGGTCGTTTAGGACGAGTACCGCTCCTTATTGGACTTGTCTGTGCATGTTTGAGCGGTGGATGATGTCCGCTGACCTTTTTGAAAGTGAAACCTCAGAGAACAAATGTCTTTTCCTATTAAGTTTCAGCATAATTCAGTAAATATATATATATTTTTAATTACAGTGCCCCCTCGGCCCAACATTTCAATGACATAGAAGGAATACTAGTCTTTTGGAAAGGTCCCATATTTGCCATGTGATTGACTGTTAAGATCAATATGGCTAACGTGTGTGTGTTCAATACAGATTTAGATAGTGAGCCGAATTCAGCTTTGTTTAGTAAACACTGGTTTTAGGATCTTTTCTTGTCTTGTCAATCTAAATGTAGTGTATTTTAATTTCACGTGCATCTCTATGCGTCACATTAACACATATTTTGGACTATCTCTGTACATTGAACCTTTTCTTTATACTTCATACTTTGAGCTTCTGCACATTACAAATGCATTGTTTTTGCACATTCCTGCACAAAACTGCACTTTTCTTGACTTTTGCAGCACTTGCTTTATATATTTTTATTATCTCTCTCTATTTTTATTGCTGTATACCAAAAAGCCTTCTACACAATAAATATGATCCTGACTTTTATTTTTATATCATAAATATGTAACAGTATTACTGTTACAACATTGAACCCCACGCTTTGCTGGGCATTGCTGGGCCCGCCGGTGGGAAGGGAGGCACGGGAGAACCGGAACCAGGACTGAGCAGGGGCGGACTGTCAGACCCCCAGTGCCGTAAAATCAGAGGTTTTCTAAATGGACTCTGGTGCTTGGAAACACAGGGGCCGCCAAAATCACCACAAAATGAAAGTTCCTTGTAGTAACTTTCATGCATTGGAAATTCAAAGTAAAAATAAAAATTGATTATGTTTAATAAAATCTGGTTATGTGAAAAGGATGACAGGAGGCCACAGGGTTTGTTAGAGTCTGAATTTAAACTTTCAATGCTGCTTTCTTTTTGGCCACTTGGGGGCAGTGTAAACAAGCTGTAAACACAACACTGACATATTACCATCTTTCTAGAGTGCAGTACAAATTTGACATGCTTGTACATAACTAAGTATTTTCCATTCACGCGACTTTATACTTCAACTCCACTACTTTTATTTGAAAGTTTTACTTAGTGGTTACTTTACAAATTACACAAAACACATGAAAACAAGTACAGCTGAGTCGATTGATAGAAAATTAACTAGCAACTATTTTGATAATCGTCATGTAAAAGCATTTCATGGCGCCAGATTTGCTTTTTCTTTGTAATGTTAATATACAAGCAATAATGCTGAGGTTTCAACTGTTGGTTAGACTAAACTAAATTTGGGCTCTGGGCAATTGATGATGCCATTTCTTTATATTTTTCACAAACCTAACAATTTATTTATCAAACCAGACATTTACTTACACATCCAGCAAATATGGAGTAACATTATCATTCATTAGAAGTGCTGTTTGTGTCCACCTGATGAATGGAAGTCCAATATTTACTCTTTTTTAGCACTGGTTTGGTGTCCCTGAGCTCCTGTGGGAACTACCTTTTTAGATGCTAAATGCTAAAAAATAAAGATGGACCACATTTTCTGTTTTTGTACAGTTTTATTTTTTTCATTTTCCAGAGTTTCAAATCATCAAAATTACTTACAAACAGATAAATTATGGCTCTGATACACTGGGGAGTGAAGACTTCATTTGACCGTCTCATCCTGGACTGAACCAAGTCTGAACCCCCCTTGAAGCTGCTAAGAGAACTGTGTCTTGCTTGTTGATGGTCACTTCATACAGTCAAATGATTATTTTAGTCATTCATAGTATTTAAAAAGGTCGATGGTCATCAGATTTGTGTTGAGATTTTTGGAAACAATAGTTTCTCTTTGCAGAAAAAAAACAAACAGGTCACAACAGATGATCCTGGATCAGGAGACGATGAACCACCTTCCTACATTAGAGCAACCTCCTCGTTTGTCTCCTTCAGGGACATTTTTCAGCTAAAAGTGAAGGAAACCGCAAAGGAGTTGATGCACCGACAAATGAAGAAATTCAAAATCTGATGATCTATCTTGCATTATGCGATTCTTCTATAATGTTTCCGAGAAGGTTTAGACTACTTACAATAAGAAACTACTAAGGGTTTCTTATTTATCCAAAATAACATGGTGGAACGCATCTGGGACGAGGTTATTAACCACAGATGCAGCTCAGTCCGATCCATCACATCAGCTCACATCTCGGTAGATAGACAATGTTTTCATCGTCAGATCAAAATGAGCCAATCAAAATACCATTAAATGGTAAAAGTAACATTTTACCTCTCGATGTAAAGGATCATTTACAGCAGCCTTCATGTGGTCTTTCATCGACAGTCGTCTGAGAATACTCTCCAGTTGTTTAGTGTTACTTTGTCTGTTATATACCGACAGCGACACTTTAAACCGGGTTGATCTCAGAGGAGATCAAGAAGGGAAACCACAGAGAAGTCCGGGGGGGGGGGTTCAGACCAGGACACACAAACACACAGTGGCAACAGTTAGAGGCCGTGTAAACCGCCTTCACAGCAGCGTTTAAAACAGCTGCGTGCCTCAGTGTCTTGCTCAAAGACACTTCGGCAGTCATCGTTCACACCGGTTGCAGAGTTCAGATCAGAGATCTGTGACGGGGTTGGCTGTGCCTCTCCCTGTTGCAGCGCTGCAACGATTAGATGATTAGAAAATTCATCTGCTACTATTTTGATGATATCCGTATAAACGGAATATGGTTTGGGGTGTTGGTCGCCATTTGAAAACATCACCTTGAACTCTGGGAAATTGCGATGTTTTCACCGTTTGTCGATTTTTCACAAATCGATTAACACAGCAATAAGCAGATGACTCAATAATCAAAACAATCGGTAGTTGCAGCAACAACATTCTTTGTTGCCTCAAAATGTTACTCAAGTAGTCTTGCACCTTTAAAACAGTTTAAGGCCAGGGGTACATTAAATAAAAGCTGAACGATAACAGCAGAAATCAAACTGACAGTTTTGAATAGATGTTTTGGAAATGTTTTATTTACATTGCAGCATTTGTTAAAACTGACGCTGGCCATTGATGGAAGCTTTGGCTCTTTCAGGATTTGAACCTGTGACTTTTTTGTTTTTTGCCGGAAAGAAAAACTCTTCTCTGCTGAAAAAAACTTCTTTCAGCAGGAAAAAAGAAATCCAAAACAAATATTCAAATCTTAGTATCCAAATCAAAAAGGAATTTTCTGACAACACAGTGGTTTGTAAACAAAGGCTGAAAGAGATTGTTGTCGTGTTTTGTTTTTTTGTCAGCACATTTTTTTTTCCCGCTTTTCTATCCACGAAAAATATACACCTTATGTTCGGAGGGTTCCCGGGTATCCAAACGGTCCACCAGGAAGAAAATAACAACGTACCATCGTAGCATTTATTTGTCTCATCTTCTGAAAAATAGGATAAAGATACGATCTTTCCTATCGTACACACGCACCCTTCGTGCAACTTCACTTAACGTTGCAGCATTGCCGCCATTACTTTTCTTCACTGTGTTGAACGTACCGTATTTAAAAAAGGGGTTGTTGTCATGCACATTCTCTCACTTCGAGCCCCCCAGACAGTGACGTCCCAGAGCCGCAGATGTAGCGAGTTTGGCAGAGTGGATTATGGGTAAAACAGCACATTTCATCATTGCATTTACATTTCTAGATATCTGAAGATGATGCTGACCGGATTCGATGAGAGTAGAAAATCTGAGATGCTTCTAATTAAATCCAACTTTTTGAAGCGTTTTGACACTTTTTTTAGCTTTAAAAAGGACAATACGAGTGTGACGCCTTCTGCTGAGGTTTTGAAAAATCGACACCATAGACTGTATAAGAAGTGGACGTAGGCATCGTGACGTCAGCGATTGGTTTGTGGACCGTCCGTCATTTCAAGACAATGATGTGACAATAATGCTTCTATTTCCTGGAGAAGTCTTAACCATGTTTGCTAGCATCATGCAATTGTAACAAGTACAGCTCTGATTAGAAAACATTTAACTTAGAACAGTGAAATAAGAATAAAAAAGGGAGGTTTGGCTGCATCGGTTTTCTTTTATTTTTCTTGTCTAGTTTGAGTCAGACTATGTTATAGGAGTGTAATGCTACATCTAATATTCATTCAGCAGCTGTGAATTATTTACAAAACCTAATAAAAGTATGAGAAAATGTTTCTTCCTAGTAGGAAGTCAAAATGGCTTCATTTTTGAAGAGGGAAACCTCCAAAGCGTCCAAACTCGGTCCGTCGACGGCTCGGGGCCCGCCATGCCTGTACTTTATTATAACTCATATTAATATTCTCTAACTCACACCGCAGACACCACAAAGTACCGAACCTCACCTGCTCCATGTCCAAAACTATAGAAGGTAACATTACCATGAACTTAATCAGGTTGACAAAACACACACACACACACACACACACACACAGACGCACTCAAACCCGCGCACACAGAAATATTGATTTAAAAAAAAGAAAAAAAGAGTGATAAAATGAAAATCAACAAATGCACTTTTAGACAGAAGATGCTGAAATAAGTCCAACTGAAACCCATCGACACATGACAGGAAGCTAGGACCTTAGCTAACACACACACACACACACACACACACACACACACACAGTCTGCAGCAGAGGGTGCTGGTTGGCTGTCGTGGTCCTTTTTTCAAACGCGGTAAGAAAAAAACAAACATATTTTAAAAAAAAAACTCCCATGAGTCTTTGGGCTCTTTTGAAGCACTCTCTCTCTCCTCTTGGGTTGTTCATACCGGCTGAGGGGGCGATGATGTAAGCGATGACATCACTTGATCACAGATGATGTCTCGTCTTCCTGATCCGAGTCCAGCGCAGTGTCTGACAAAGAGTTACAGGAAGAAACTACCCATCATCCTCGCTGTGAGGGTGATTAGGGGAGGTCGCGCTTGGGGTCAAAGGTCACAGGGTGAAGGAGCAGTCGGTGCAGATTGTAAGAGACAAAAAAAAAAAAAAAAAAAAAAGAAGGGAGAGAAAGACCGTAGGCTTTCGCCATCGCTGCTCTCCTGTCTAGATAAAAAGAGGAGAAGAAGAAAGAGAGAGGAAGGAGGGATGGTAGACAGAGGAGTGCAAGGCTCGCTAGCGGTTGTTCTTGGCCGCCTCCTTTGCAGCCACGATGAGAGGAGTCAGACTGGAGAGGGGCTTCGCCATCTTCAGAAACTGGTGCTGAGAGGAGGAGAAGGTGAGAGAGAGGAAGAGGGGGAGAGGAGAGAGGAGGAAGCATATAGCAACGGAGAGGAGGGGAGATGGAATTAAAGGACGAGTGGGAGAGGGAGCGAGGTGGAGAGAAGAGAGAGATATTTCAGTTCACTGCCTAAAGTTAATTTCATCATTGATGGAAAATATAATGTAATCAAAGAAAGAAATAAATGTCTGCCCTCATGTGAAAGTGGTTCAAACGTGAACACATGCGGTCTACTTTTCTTCGTGAGTGTGTAAATACATATCTATTATTAATATTTCTGCCTTTATATTCAGTTTTTTAATGAACTTGTGTTGGACTTTAATGCCAACTATAAGGCTTGGTTTTATGAGGCAGTAATGTACTTTCATACATTTGGGTTGAAACGTAAATATGTATATATGTATACATATATATATACATACATATATACACATATATATACATATATACATATACATATATACACATATACATACATATATACATATACATATATACACATATATACATATATACACATATACATATATACACATATACATACATATATATACACATATACATACATATATATACACATATACATACATATATATACATATATACACATATATGCATATATATACATATATACACATATATGTGTATATATATATATATATATATATATATATACATATATACACATATATGCATATATATACATATATATACATATATACATATACATATATATACACATATACATATACACATATACATATATATATATACATATATATATATATATTTTAAATATAAGTTTTAACAGAAATCCTTGAGCGGTCAGCATTTACTGTATCAGACAGTCTGAGGAAAGGTAATACTATTAAAGTATTTGAACATTTTAGTCTTTTTAATCCGTCTCTTGTGAGTCCCCCAACTTAAGAAAGCTGAGCACTAAATTGCTAATAATACATTGCCTATGAGAGATCACGGGTTTGCTGTTGCACTGTGTTGGTGTGGTCAGGTGATGGGACGTTCAGGACTTCATCACTGATCCATTTAGAAATGGAGGAGAGGAGAGCTAGTTAACGTTAGCCGTTAGCAGCCGGTGGGCAGCTCAGTCGGAGCTAACGGCTAACGTTAACGGAGGTTGCATTGAGTTACACTATGATACGTCCGGGCTTCATGCAGTAAAACAAATAAATAAGAGTATTGAGCAAATTATGAAGTTATCATGATGTGTGCAACTGTAATCTTGTAAAATGTTGTTTTTGGTGAGAAATTTGAATAAATCCAGTCGTTTGAAGGAGATGTTATTCACAGCAACATGAAATAGATATCAGAGAGGGAATTATGTTGAACTTTATGTTTATAACGCACCGGTAGCGGTAATCGGTATCGGCAGATATGCGAGTCGAAATAATCAGCAGGAGCAAAAAAAGGGTATCAGAAGATCACTACACAGAGCCCTGAATACAAACTGGTCATAATCACAGTGTGTGCCGGGTCCAATTTAATGCCCACACACACACGCAATTGAATCAACCTTTATCAACGATTACCTCGGAGAACAAGGACTCGCTCATACAAAGGAGGCTTTGAATTGGATTACTTCTATAACTGACCTCCTTCTGAAAACAGTATAAAGTCCCAGTTTCACCTCTCAGCTCTGAGTTATAGTACAGTTACACAACTCAGTTACACCTCCACCTCTCTACACCTCCACAGCTGTCAGTCTGTCTGTCTGTCTGAGCGGACAGCTGAACCTCAAAGAAACTGGATTCAATTTGTATTTGTCAAACCACCTAAAGGCCACTCGGGACAGACTAAGTGCTCGTTGTCAGTTTGACTCTCTTTCAATCTTATTATTCATTATATGCAGACTACGGAGATGAGACTACTCTACACACACGCACACGCACACACACACACGCACACACACACACACAGCTGCAGTACCTGCAGCAGCTCTTTCGCCGACCCTCTCTTCTCCACGTCCATCTCCAGACATCGGTTCAGGAAGTCCCTGAACGTCGTCGACAGCTTCTCCGGGTTCTGCAGCTCCGGCGTCCCGTTGGTCGCGATGAGATACAGCGCCTGGGCCACACACACACAACACACATGTGAGCAACAAGGTAGTCCTCATCCCATGACGCAAACACATGCTTACAACAACAAGGTGTGTAGAAAATCCTTTTACTTCCGTGCCATCCAGTGGTGGTTTTATACTGTGGATATCTACAGAGAACTCTGTTATGACAATGTGTATCGTAATGACCCGAATATAACAGCCTGATTAGAAAACTCACTTTGTTCTGTTATAGTTCTTCTACCTGTGATTTAGTGTGTAGATGACCAAGAGTCCTGTTTTCTGGTTTTGTTTAGGTTAGTTACATATCTCTGTATGAATATTGCCATGCTTTGTTAAGTGCTAAAAAAGAGCTTTATAAATGCAGTCTATTTACCAATCTTTATTCTAAGTTTATTTTTATTCTATCGTTTATTATTTGTATTCTTCAGCTGTTATCTTTGATCAAGACACAGGAATTTCCTCGGGATTGATTAACTCTTATCTTATCTTATCTTACAGAAAGACTCCATAAACAATAAGACTGGAAGAAACCTCAGAAAGAACAGCTGAGGGGACAGTCAATAGATGTCATGTGTACGTAATAAACAACATAATAAAACTACAGCATAGACAATCAGGATGAGGAAATAATAGAAACCTGTGTGACATATCCTCGTGGTGTCGAGACATGAACTACTTCCAGTAAGGCGGCATGTAACTCCCACGTTTGAGTCAGTAACTCGCTCTCTGAGCTCCTCGTTAAGACATCGTGTTACAGCGGTGATTCATGGCTGCTCGACAAATGATCTGGATCCCTGGTCTGTTTCTATGGTAACGACACCTTTGACTCGCCATCAGGCGTCGGGAGTTCATTGCCACCGTGGCAGCGAAACACTTCACATGAGTCGACTCAAAGCTCCCGCAGGTTAAACTGAATAACTTCAGAAAGACACAAACTGACTTCAAGAAACGTTAAAAGCTACAAACAACCCCATAATGCACCGCTCTCTCCATTCAAAAACAATATCTGCATATAGTCTAGTCCTTTAAATATAATACTCTTAATTGTAATTTCCAGAAGAAAAAAAACGTTTTCATAAGAATCGGACAAAATGAGAAGCTTTCACAGCGAACACAATCTCACCCGCAGCGGGTTCTCATTCAGGTACGGAGGCTCCCCCTCCACCATCTCTATGGCCATGATGCCCAGGGACCAGATGTCCACTTTGGGGCCGTAGGCTTTGCGGGTCACGACCTCTGGGGCCATCCAGTACGGGGTCCCCACCATGGTGCTACGTTTGCTCTGCTCCGGAGTGATCTGGGCGCAGAAGCCGAAGTCGGCTGTGAGGAGGACAGAGGACGACATGAGTTCAGAGTATTGGTGTTATCGACAGTCCCCTTCATTTACCATCAATCTGTAAAAATGTTGTGATGTTTTTGGCACATTGAGGACCAAACAGTTAAAGAAGGATTAGAGTTATTGCATGAAATTTCCACACAACCAATAATGAAAATCTGTGGAGGGTAAAAAGTGGCCCATGGGCCAAAAATGTCCCTCCAACCGACAGATTTGACCCCCTGAAAAAGAGTTAAAGATTTCCCTTTAACCATGATGATGTCACATGAACATAAAGGCTCATGTTGACTGTGTAATATATGAAAATATCTTTACCATCTACTTATAATCAATGAGTCTAACAGACATGCAGCGCTGATAGCTGATCATTGTTCCCACTGTGTCCACAGCAGGCACACAGACTGAACTTCAATACTGGTCCCAGTAGAATCAGAGCTCCCCCTGTTGGTCAATACCAGCAACTACAACAACAATCCTACCCGAGTACAACGAGGTAGAAGCAGCCTAATGCCAGTAATACTTGACAATAATTATGATATAATAAATATGACATGATTCCCTCTGTGGACTGACTGAGTTTGACGGAGCCGTCCATGCCCAGCAGGATGTTGTCGCTCTTAATGTCTCGATGGATGACCTGGTTTGAGTGGAGGAACTCCAACGCCTGGAGACACTGGAGAGAGACAGACAGACAGAGAGACAGACAGTTAGAGGGACAGACAGAGAGAGAGACAGACATAAAGAAGGACAGACAGACAGAGAGAGACAGAGAGAGGAAAACAGAAAGAGAAAGAGGGGCAGAGATACGGAGACCGACAGAAAGAGAGAGAGAGAGAGAGAGAAACAGGGACAGAGGGAGACACACAGAGAGAAACAGAAAGAGAAAGAGGGATGGAGCGAGACAGACAAAGCAAGAGAAAGACAGACAGAGATGACGTCACCTGTCTCCTGTCTCCTACCTCTCTGCACACAGCAGCTATCTGGGCTTCATCCATGCAGGTCTCCGTGACGACGTCAGTCAACGAACCTCCGGCCAGGTACTCCATCACCACCCACAGCTCGTCACCCACCAGGTAACTATGGAAACCATCAATACACGCAGGTATTCATACTCACCATAAGACATGAAACCGGACATTTCGTCAGATGTTGTAAGGCCGGTAGGGGACTCGCTATATATTAAGCTTAAAAATTAAATATTCATACACAAGAAACCATTTTTCAAGGGAGGGAAATTTAGGTGCAAGCGGTCAGAGAATGACTACATCATTTGGCTTATCTTAAAATCTTGAGAGCATTTTGTAAACATGATGCACTTATCCATTTCAACAGGTAAAGTAATAACCCAGAAGATTTTCATTTCTATAAATGTCTGTTAGGTCAGATGAGGTAACACGGCCATTTACGCGTCTGTGGCGACGTTCCCGAGAAAATACGGTCCGTATCCCTGGGGAGTCACGGCGTATCAGGCGTCGTTGCGGCGGGTCCTTCGAGTGATCGATACGATGGATTCAAAGGATTAAAAATAATAACATTTACTCTCAATAACTAACCGAGATGCGAGGCCTGCAGATTGTGTTTTTCCAGCTGGTTTCACACATTTACTGCAGTCAGCAAATTTCGTTGTCAGAAGAAGAACCGCATTAACAGAAGGATCTCAGCTGAGTGTGAATCTGCCAAAACTAAAAATAATCCTCCAACTTTTAAAGCCACAGCCTCCAGAAATCTCATCTGTGTGTGTGCGCGTGTGTGTGTGTGTGTGTGTGTGTGTGTGTGTGTGTGTGTGTGTGTG